GTGGTACCATGGGATGAACTTGATCGTCCAAAATGTTCACGTAAGTCTTGGCAGTCATGTTCCCCCCTGACGCAGTTATCATGGGGCCAGCAGAGAACCACGATATGGCTGCCCAAACCATAACAGAACCCCCCGCCAGTTCACTCTTGGCACAAGCAGTTGTATTATAGGCTTGAGATGAGTTCTCCAGTCGTAAACTCGGCCAGAAGTGGGAAAACAATGTGAAGAAGACTCGTCAGACCATATTACTCGCTTCCACTGCTCTATGGTCTATACTTAAACACACCTTTTCCTGGTACGGGATTAGCATCACTGATGAGTGGCTTCTCAACTGCAGCACGGTCAGCAATCCCGTTTATGAAGCTCCCTTCTAATTGTTTTGGTTCTCACAGGGTTCGGTAAACACAACATTCATTTCAGCAGTAACTTTTGCAGCTGTGTCTTCTTATTTTCGTCACAATTGCCCTTAATGATCGTCTGTCACGATCACTCGGGACACTTTCGTCCGCGCTGTGATTTAGCAATGATTTTTTTTCCGCTTTTCAAATATGCGGAATAAATCTTCGATACAGTACCTCTGAAACACTAAACACCTCGGCTACCTTGCTTCGGACACCTACCATACGTGCTCCAACAATTTGCCCACGTGCGAGTCTGTTAACTCTGACATAATGCAATGACAACCTCACATAAACAGTACTCCGACAACAACTGAACTGTTTAGCAATTTACGAAGTTGTATAGGTGACGTAAGTAGTCAAAAACGCCAGCGCCACCTACATATTTCATTAAAATCAATCTTGCTTTTCAAACATGCATTTTACAAGGTGTTTCCATATTTTTGTCCATCCACTGTATATCTGCTAAAGAATATCTAATGTGGACAACAACATGACTTACTCGTACGGCCTATTAAATTTTACACATTTTTTGCTGCCTTTTATTTAAACTTATTTCCGCAAATTTTGTTAGAGACATATTTCTTATTCAATTAATTCAGTTCTCATTTCCTGGCAAGGCAAAAAGACATACGAACTGGAAACATATCCGTTCAAAATTACAAAACACAGAAAAACACAGAAAAACACAAAATACGAAGTACAATTAAAAACAATTAAAAAACTATTTCTGTAATTAATATTAGACAAGCCATTTGGTAGGAAGACGAATTTTTCGGTGGGCACAATTGAAAATTTACTTTTGGTTCCACTTGGCAAAAAAACACTGAAAAATGTGCACAAATTGACTTAATTCACTGTTTTACTAACAGTTCCAAATGTAGATAAATAGCGGTCTCGTTAGGCTAACACCCCTTAATCATTTTTTAAATTGTTGATAGTTTTGCAACTATTGCCTGCAGATTATCTAAAGGCATAAAATCCTTAACCGGCACATAAATCGCAAGTATTGTAATCGCGAAAAGTTTCAGGCAGCATATTTCAACGACAATATCCATTTTGAACCCTATCGAATGCAATTCAACGATGTTTTTGCGTGATATCTGTACGTAAGGACAGAATAAAAGACTCTTTTCCTCCAAAAAAATTATAAAACTGCTTTAAAATGAATTCTGAAGAGAATTTTTCGTGGCGTCGTACGAACGTATGTGTATCTCGCATAACTCAAAAACGAGTAGCCTCAGAGCGTGACATTTTGTATATAGGACTGCTATAACATGTAAATGTACCTGTTTTTGTGCAATCGGCCGCCCAACGTAAACGTATATAAATATTTATATATATATCCACTCTGCTACCGGCTCAGGATCTCAGTTTATTTACTCTTATATGTTTGTAAATTGTAAATTTTGCTTTAAATGATTGAATTATGTGTTCTTATCTTCGGTTAAGGTTTTTGCCTTTAGTAAATCTCTATGCATTGTTAAGAATTATCAACATTTAAAATTTTAAGGCCCTTAGCCAACCTTTTTTGATGGCCATTGCGTGACATTTGAAACAGCAGAAACAGGGGGATTTGTGCTGGAGAGAAACGTAGCTTCGCAACAACAAAGAGAACGTCTTCATTTATTACTGCGAATTAAATAATGTTTAATCCTTATGAAATTTTTTCGAGGAGATAAGTGTTTAAGATTTACTTCGTAGTTTTAATACAGATATTTGAGTTTTAATGTATTTTGCCTTGTCGCGAAGTGAGAACTGAATTAATTGAATGAGAAACTCAATCGTCTGTAAATACTGTACTTTTTTGTGTTGTTTTGCTTAATTTCTTTATACATCGTTCTAGCTTTATTATAGTATTTGAATAGAACATGTGGGAACGATTAGCTAATCCTTTAAATGATATAAATTTTGTGCATACTGAGTTATAATATGAATAAAATATAATACTTTTATGTGAACCTAGCGCCAGAGCGTCGCTATGGTAAACAAAGTGAATTTTAAAGAATTCATTTATTCTATTGTGGTTTATGCGCTGTCGTTTAAGTAGATTTAATTCAATCCAATAAGTTTAAACGAAATGCAAGAAAAAATGCGTATAATTTAATATTCCGTACAAGGACGTCATGTGGTGTACACATAAGATTATTTTTTGTGGAAGCTGTACATGTAAAAATCTAATTTTCGCATACTGATTGTTTGCCTTATTTTAAATCTTTCATTTTTATATCCATCGTATAACGTGCAGCCGTAAATTTCAATCTTATTTTTTGCATTGAATGTTCGCGTTGTACCCCGGAATGTACGGTACATAAAGATTCTGTTTACCAATAATCTAGCCATTATCTCATCTCTATCCCTAACCCTTTGAAGGGCGGTGGTTACCTACAGTAACCACCTTTTCTATTGAGCTTCTTACTCACTCGTGTGAGTGGGTTTCAAGAGTGACCGCTTCTGAAGTTCCCTTATAGCTCGCTACATGGCAGTCAACAAACATGAGCCAGTAGTTGATGCAGCAATTCGTCTTCAAGAAAATAAAACATCAGCCATCCAAAACAACATCACGACGATGTATACTCTGCACCACCAAGAAAAAGCCTGTAAGAACAGTGTGGGAATGCAGCACATGCAAAGTTGCACTCTGCTTCAAAAAGAAATATTGTTTGCATGACTGGAGATCTTGAATATATTCCTCAGGCGATGAAGGAGCACCCGGAAGGCGACCAAACAAAAGATCACAAGGCAGACGAAGGTAACGACCGAAGAGCATCTGTGATGGGGAATAGCCGGTAGTCTCGTGGACAGTACTGCGGTAAACCAGTATTCCGGAGAGGGTTACATTCTTTTCCCTGGAGGTTCATAGAGACTGATTTGTAGAGATGCTTTCTGTGGGCGGTGGTTACTAACACTAACCAACAAAAGTGGTCATTTGTTTTCACACGTCTTGGACAAAATATGTGTAACTGTCGCATTTAATTTCATTTTGACACCTTATATAATAAATAAAACAAGAGTTTTGTTGAAAACGATTATTGCCTGTTCTTGTATCTCAAAGAGTTAAGCTTTTGGTCAGTAGTGCCCAACCTTTGGCTTATCGCGAGCACATTTCCAAAACATCAACATTTTTGTTAAGCATATTTCCAATCTTATGTGATACGTCTGAAATATTAATTTCGCCAAATGGGTTTGAGATGAATAATAATATTGGTTGAACTTTATGGAAATCAGGGAAGCGGAGTTCAAAATTATTTTTCAGTGCATTTAGGTTTACCGAGTATTTCTCTGTTTCAATTGCCTTGTAGTTATTAATTCTTTGAAGACCATAACGCCCCAGACGGCCTTTCATTCAAACGACCACAATTGCCCAAAACGGCCGAAATTCCGATGTTGTTTTCTTCTCTCCCCTAAGGTATGCAGCAGCAGGTGCAGCTTTCCCAAACGCATTGTATCAGTTTATTGCAAACAGCTTGTCCTAAAAGGATTTATTTGTGGTTTTTTATCTTTATTTGTTGGGAAGTAGACAGGATGACATTTGAAAACTTCACTCTTCTTTGTGCATTAATGGATGGGGAGGGAAGTAAATTGCTCAAACCTTTTCGGGCGGTTCGGTATTTTATGCATACAGGTTAGCGACAACTTCCGGTTTTCAAAGAGTTAGTATGGCTTGACAAATTCTGAAAATGGGTGAAATAGTTTTTCTTTCATCTGATTGATCCACAAATTTGACTCTGTCTGAAAAGCAGTTACAGTCCCAGTTAATTGAAAGAGTTTTTTTTTTTTTTTTTTTCTTTTCCCTGGAGATTTTCGTTCAGTTTGCTCAGTTTAGCTGTTATATCCTTGAGAAGATACAGATCGGATAACAATTATTATCGTCCAATTCTTTATAACTTTCATTTTCGGATTCCCAAAACTGCTTTATTGGCGAAAGAAGTTCTACAAATCGTTGAAGTACTTTTCGCCTGCTGAGCCATCTAACGTCGAAATGAAGCAATAAGATTCCATGCTGGCTATCAAGTTGATCAGTCAGCAATTAATTATTTTGTAACGTCTTGCAAGATATCTCTTATGACTATAAACGCTTACCACATTTTAACAATTAAGAAATATAAATGTATGGTTATTTAAAAAATATTTTTTTTTCATAGTACCAAAAGGCCCATTTACACTAGCGGAACTTTGAGCCTAAGAAATGTACGCGGAAGTTGCTAGCTTCACTAAATGGCGAAAATGTTACTCTTTTTTTTTAAACTGAAACTGAATATGTACACATTTAAATAAACAGCCTAACTTAAACATTTTCAAGAGTTTAAGAGTTAAATTCCCCATAATACGAAAAAATTGCTGTTTAAAAGCTCTCAAACGAGTCTTCAAATTCGCCTGCGTTTCTTAGCCTCAAAGTTCCGCTAGTGTAAATGGGCCTTAATCGGGCTGGCGAGCACAAACAAAACGGTCGGCGAGCACAAGGTTGGGCACGGCTGTTTTAAGGTATGTAAATTTGCATTCTTTGCATTTCATTTTGGAATACGCTAGCCAATGAAAATCAAGGGATATCTGGCAACACTTTTGCTTCGTTTCGACTGAAGAGTTTGAGCACTGCGCTGTTGCAATCATAGCAATACGAATGATTCTTATCTTCGGATATTTTCATGCCAGAAATATCCAACTACTTCAGCAGTCTGTTTGAGTAGTATGTGTTAATTTGGCAAAGACGTCGTAACGTCCTAAATTAAATCACTTTTCATTTGTAATGACTTATGTACAAAACTCAGAATTTTTAACTGCGTAGTAATCAGTTCTGTGCCTTGGCAAAAGGGACTCTTGAGCAGCTTTCGTGCTTCTGTTCCAGACTCAAATGCAACAGATTGTATCAAGAGTGTGGATTTTTAAGATAGCGTATTTCGCTTTGGTGCCATTTTGTAACTTCAAGTGCTTAAATACTTCATAACTGTTTAAATTTCATATCCGAAATTTGGTGTATTAGTGACAGTGACAATGTGTTGGTACTTGACAGTGACAATATGTTGGTAATTGACAATGACAGTGTATTAGTATTGGTGACAGTGACAAAAGTAATCTGCATGTGCTGCTTCAGCAATTGAATGTTAACTGTCCTTCCAGAGACTCTTTCCACAATCACATCATGACTTTGGGTGAAATCACGGATGATAAAAGGTAAGTGGATTTGAATTTATTACCAAAAAACATTTTGTTACATTATGATGGGTATTTCTGCTCAGGCAATGAATGTAAAAATCAACTGATCTAACTTCCGAAATTCAAATTGGTCATTATATAATATAAATTCAACTGTATGATTACTTTTTTGAGTAATGCGAGTCTTGTTTCTGGAATTACGATGTATTTGAACATGTAAAGAAGTAACTGTTTTGTGATTATGCATGTAAAAGGCCTGCAAAGAAATATCATGCAGGGAATCTTTAATCATAATTGGTTTTTCAATATGAATGTTAACAGTTTGAAACAGTTTTAATTTGGAAGTACAAAATTATATGTAATTTATCCGAATTCAGACATGAATCCGAGGCAGAAGTGTATGGTTGAATAGCTAAATTTCTAACAGAATTATACAAATATAGTTGTGCAAATTTTCATTTATATTCAGAGTTATTTGTGTGGTAAAATCCTAGTATACGGTGCAGCCTTGACGCGATTTTGAAAATTATCGCCAACACCAAAAAAGAACGTCTATATATATATACTATACACTATATACTATGTGTGTATATACATAGTATATACTATGTTTAACTATATATTTTCTATGAATGACCCATTAACTACTCATTGTATATGTCCCGTTTTTACTGCTCATCATAAAGTTGCCAAATCCCGTGTGCACCGGATACTAGGATTAAACCATTTGCCTTAAACATAAAATCCGCAGCACTGTCAATCAAAACGCAATATCAGTGTAATTATAGTGCTTATTATCGTAAATGAGGTTTATTCCAAATTAATCCATACTAAGAGTAATAAAGTTGTTGGAATATGTCAAATACAAAAATCGCTGTCAAGGGCTAGTCTTATTTTATAAAAGGTTAATCTTTGGATTATTGTAACTTGGCGATTTTTTGGCTAAGATTTGGCGACCAACCCTGCTACAGCAACCTGCTAGTTTTGTTTTGGACGCCATTTTGTTTTCACGAAGTAAAGGCATGTTTTTTTTTTTTTTTTTTTTTTTTTTCTTAACATTTTTTTCCAACAATCTGCTAGCCGAATTACGCTTATGCTAGAACTTTTATGGAACAAAAGTACTTAATCATGACGAAGATTAAGTGCAAAATTGGAAGAAAGTGCAGAATCGCCCACTGCTTGCCGCGTTTTTAAGAATTGAATAATAAAGCCATGTACACGTCGACCTATTTTCACTTGAAAAAAATATCCCAGAATTGCACAAAAATGCCATTCCGCACACGCTTGACTTTATCCATGTACACATCGACCTATTTTCACTTTAAAAGTCAAAGAAAATTGACAAAAATCCCATTTTTCTTACTGATGTCAAAAGCGCCAACCAAATAAATGGACGATTCTGCACTTTAGCAGCGAAATTGTTTCTAAGTGCTTAATAGCTAAAATCCCGATTGGAATTTTCCGGAAAATGTCACATTACATGTCTCATGATCTCTCATTTCTCTGAGACAAAATAATCAGCCCCCCCCCCCCCCCCCCCCCCCCCCACCACCCCCCCCCCCCCCCCCCCCCCCCCCCCCCCCCCCCCCCCCCCCCCCCCCCCCCCCCCCCCCCCCCCCCCCCCCCCCCTCGAACTGTGTACTTCTCAGATTATTGTTAAGTCCTAGCCTAGTAACCTTTACCAAAATTTATCGCCTTACCAAAATGTCGCCAAACTACCTGTTACCATAATCTAAAGATTAGCCGATTTGTTTTAAAAAATGCAATATTTTGAAAATTCATTTAAAATGGTAGTTCAGTAGAAATTAGTTGATCTTTGTACATCCCAAATACTTTGTACAGCTTTAAATCGTCCAAACTATTTTGTATGGCATTTTACGGATGTGCTTCGATTAAATGTAGGCGAATTTAAAACTGGATTGCTTATATTTAAAATCTTTCAGATTTAATTTTTTCTACTATATAAGGCCAGCTAACGTTTTGGAAATGTATACTTATCTATCTTTTAATACTATAAAATATGGCTCCTGTGATAGTAATACAAATTCCTGAAGCTTTGCCACAGAGCGAAAAATCTAATGTGAAATATTTAAAAAGCCGTGTTCACTCTTCAATCCGAAATAAAATTAAAGATCAAATTAAATCTTTCTTAATATTTAAAAGTGTTTTGCATTTCTTATTAACACTGTGAAACTAATGAATTTTCATAATTTTTATGCAAGTTTCCTGAATGTATTTATCAATCTTTATCAGTCGGCTATATGCAGTTCTGCCTAACATAGCAGCTCGCCCAGTATCAGTGAGATACTGTATATTTCCTTGTAGTTGGTAATACAGATGATGACCCAAAATTTCGTGCCAAAATTTTTCGTTTAATGTCAGCTTCTTATTATTGGCGTCAGATTTCTAGAAAATGTGTTAATAGCTGAACATATATTGCTTAGCTAGAATTCCTATTATTTGTATGCCTGTTTTAGATATTTCGTTGTACAATTGCGAGAATGTGTTAATAGGCGAAAAGATATTGCTTGGCAAGAATTCACATTATTTATATGCTTGTTTCAGATGTTTTGATGCACAATCTAGATTTTAACATTTTCTGGGATCTTTATACTCGGAAATAGCTCATATGTTACAGAAAATGTTTAGTTTATGAAATTTACTTTTCAGAAATATCCAAATTCGTAACAAAATGGTTAATGTTTAATTAACTTCATGTTTTGGGTACCAAATGCTATAAGCATATAGCAAATAAAGGCAAGCAATTGTTTAACAAAAGCGTTCATCATTTTCGGAGCTCAAAGATTTGAGCTTCAAGTATTTTATACTTTATTAACTCCTTCTTTTAGTTTTAGAGTAAAAAAGGAAAGATAAATAAAAACAACAAATTTGAAATATACAACGGTTTAATTTATTTTGAGGCTTTATTGTTTTATTTTGAGGCGATAGTTTTATTTCGAGAAAAACTGCCCTCAATAATCACTTTTTACTGAATATAATTTTAATTCGAATATATATTGAAATACTAATTTGAATGTTTTTGTCTTTACCAGTCTTGATAAGGTTGTGAAAATATTTAACTCTGCCCGGCAAATTTTAAACTTACCCCGATTTTACACGGCCTCGCGTGGTGAAGAGTTTAAAGAAAATTTAGTATGTAGATTTTAGGATGTTATGTGTAAGAATACGAGATTTTTTCCGAATAAGCCAAAGAATTCTATAATAGTTCATAGGCACTTCAAAGCGATAGCTTTACAAAATTTAAAATATTGATGTTTAGTAATGTGAAAAGCATTTACAGAAAATAATGCATAGTTATTTAATTCGCCAAATTATCTTCGCTTAGTTTTCTTAGCAAATTGGTTTAAGCAGAGAAATAATCTTACTACATGATTTGATTTTTCAAAATAGGTGAAAGAACTCTATAATGGTTCAAAAGGTAGTTAAAAGTTGCCCTTGATTAATTTTCTTATTAAATTGTTTTACATAATAAACAGAGAAATAATCCGGTAGAAAATTCTTAAATTTTCAGAATAAGTGATGTTTTGAAGGTAGAAAGTTTTGGTTAAACTTAATCCACTCCCGCATATTTGTGTCTATCTGATCCAAACCAGAAAAACGGTTCTGTTAGAGTAACCTAAAAGTTTGAATAACTGATAATTTCATGCATGCTAAGGCCAGAAATGGATATCATCTGATTGATTTCTCTTCATTATTCGAAATACTCTGAAACAGTTATTACTACCTTTTCCTGCAAGGCGAAATTCTCAATTCGCGCATACTGAAAGCAGCAAAAGTCCTCGATCAGAATCACACAAGCAGGGTTCTAATTGGTGAGGGGGAAACTATATGCACTGTTATGAAAGTGTGCTATGGACACACAAATATGGTATACACATAGCATTTGTGTATTATTGCAAACATTTGCTTAGTAGAAATCGCTAAATTTTTCAAATTCGCAAAACTCATAAGATATGAGTATAAAAACACTTCAGTTTTAACGAGCCATGTAACCATCTTTGAAACTATTCTTAAAAACCTTCGCCGCGAAATTCTCACCAGAAGAGAAAAGAAACTAAAGCAACAGCAGGATTATTGAGTGATTTTTCGAAATTGATACCAAATTAAAACGTGAAATATCTATGTAACAAGTTAGTTTCTGCCATTAAATCACTTTCTTTTTTATCAAAAATTTGTCGGCGAAAGTGCAGTATCACCCACTGCTTGGCACGTTTTTAAGAATTGCATATACTCGGTATCCATGTACACATCGACCTATTTTCACTAAAAAAAAAATCCCAGAATTGCACACAAATGGCATCACTCCCTTGACTTTATCCACATACACATCGACCTATTACCGCTTAAAAAGTCAAAGAAAATTGACAAAAAGTAAATTCTTCTTACTCTTGTAAAATGTGCCAAGCAAATAATTGGACGATTTTGCACTTTACCCAATTTGTCAAACTGCACCTTAATACATAAGTACCTATTATATCTATTTTCTACAAATATGTTACATATATAAGAGGTACTCAAAAAAGAATGAGAATAAATTTGTTAAGCTTTAAATCTTCAGATTCTATCAACATAGTCTTTTTCTAAACAGCCTTGTGTTAAACACTTGTCCTACTATGCCTGTGCTTTTGGAACACTTCTTGCTTAAAACAGTCTTATTCAACCTTTAAAACAGCCTTTGATGCATCTAAGCGTAGTCCTGGTAGCTTCGAATTTAAGATAAATTAAAGAGGTACTCTTCTGTTATCCGAACAATGTATGTATCCATGTGCCGTATGTATGTGTATACACACATATGCATAATTACTCACGTACATGAAAACATCAATACATACATGCATATATACCAGATACTTGAAGTTTGTCGTTTATATTTATAGTTATGTATATGTTACCTTGAAAGACCGGAATTGGAGAATATCGACTTTCACCGGAGAATGTCAACATTCACCAAATACGTCGGTGAAAGATCGAATATTTCTTTACATTCTTGTACATTC